CTTAACCCACTGCACCACCAAGGTGTCCCCAAAACTGATGCTTAGAGAAATGTAACCTCTAAATAGTCTTATAGCCATTGAATAAATGTAATCATAGTTTAAAAGCCTTTTTTTTCTGTTTCTCTCTCTTTCTCTCTCTCTCTCTCTCTCACACACACACACACACACACACACTCCCAAACACACACACACACACACACACCAGTTCTTATTGGTATTATTGGCTAAATACTAAAATTTCATTGGAGATGTCATTCTAATCTTATTGCAATATTTCCATGAGTGGTGAAAAGGGCTACTTTCCAATCCATTCGATGAGAACACTTTGATCTTAATACCAAAATCAGACAAAAACTAAGTAGAAGAAAGAAGAACTATAGGCCAGTCTTCCTGTGGATCACTGATAGACAAAAGAAACAGGAGGAGAAGACATTGACCCAGTCTTCAAGTCAAAGAACCTAACACAACCCAAACCAAATTAATTTAGTGTATGGTTGAAGATAACATACCCTGAAGTGCTAAAAATTGTTAATGGCTTTAAAAATGCTAGATAAACAAAGACTGGGGTGGGGGATGGCTGCTGGAGAAATTCTTATGAAGGAAGTAGGATAGGAAATAACCATTTCAATTAACAACTCAGGCAACAACAGATGTTGGTGAGGATGCAGAGAAAGAGGATCTCTTTTGCACTGCTGGTGGGAATGTAAACTGGTGCAGTCACTCTGCAAAACAGTATGGAGGTTCCTCAAAAAGTTAAAAATAGAACTACCCTATGACCCAGCAATTGCACTACTAGGTATTTATCCAAGGGATACAGGTATGCTGTTTCGAAGGGGCACATGCACCCCAATGTTTGTAGCAGTGCTATCAACAATAGCCAAAGTATGGGAAGAGTCCAAATGTCCACTTATGGATGAATGAATAAAGAGTGTGATATATATATATATATATATATATATATACACAACGGAGCATTACTCGACAATCAAAAAGAATGAAATCTTGCCATTTGCAATGATGTGGATGGAACTAAAGGGTATTATGCTAAATGAAATTAGTCAGTCAGAGAAAGACAAATATCATATGACTTCACTCATATGAGGGCTTTATGACACAGAACAATGAACACAAGGGAAGAAATGCAAAAATAATATAAAAACAGGCAGGGGGACAAAACCTAAGAGACTCTTAAATGTGGAGAACAAACAGAGGGTTACTAGAAGGCTTGTGGGGGTATGGGCTAAATGGGTAAGGGGCATTAAGGAATCTACTCATGATCATTATTGCACTATATGCTAACTAACTTGGATGTAAATTTAAAAAATTAAAAAAATTAAAATCTGGAAAAAAAAAAAAAGAAAGAAAGAACCGTTTCAGGGGCAGGTGGGTGGCTCAGTCGGTTAACCGTCCGTTGAGCATCTCGCTCTTGATTTTAGCTCAGGTCCTGATCACAGAGTGTGGGATAGAGACCTGCATCAGGCTCTATGCTGAGCATGGAAGCTGCTTGAGATTCTCTTTCCCTCTGCCTCTCTCTCTCTCGCTCTCTCAAAACTGAAAAAAATAAAAATAAAAAATAAAAGAAATAACTGTTTTAGAAATGTCTTTAAAAAGCAGTCTTTGTTTCCTCTCCACAAGGAAGGAGAAATATGGTATTGCATGTGTGGGGAGCTTGGTATATGTGGGTAAAAGTGAAGAAATCTGCCTGGCTGGAACAGAGGGTGTATTAGGGGCATATAGAAATAAGATAGGAGGAGAAGGTGGGGTGCCTGGGTGGCTCATGCGGTTAAGCGTCCCACTCTTGATCTTGCCTCAGGTGTTGAACTCAGGGTTGTGAGTTAAAGTCCCATGTTGAGCCTACTTAAAAAAAAAAAGATAGGAGCATAAGATATGATTGTTTAATCACAATCAAACAAGACTGATTTGTTGAACACAGTTGGTGGCTATGGACGGAGTGTTTGGAACTGTCAGCCCAACAGCTGACACACAGATCCGTGTGATCGATGATGGATGGATAGACAGACTCATAGACACACAGATGCAGGGATGGATTTCATCTGTGACAACTTGTTGGGAACTAAAATTGTGAAGGTCACTTAGCCATAAATCTAACAGATTTTTGGAGCACCTGGGTAGCTCAGTAGGTTAAGCTTCCGACTTTGGCTCAGGTCATGATCTCACAGTTTGTGGGTTCAAGCCCCGCATTGAGCTCTGTACTGACAGCTCGGAGTCTGGAGCCTGCTTCAGGTTTTGTGTCTCCCTCTCTCTCTACCCCTACCCCACTCGTGCCCTGTCTCTCTCTCTCAAAAATAAGCAAACATTAAACAAAATTTAATCGATTTTGTCAGAAGCTGAATTTAGTGACATTGAAGGACACACTCCAAGCCAGGCACACAGAGTCCCTACATGAAAACCAATTGTGAACTGGATAGTATTTTCTTCAGGACCATCATCAGCTTCTTCCTGTCTTTTTTCTTCTGCATCTATATTGATTTATTCCTCTGAACTGTTCTGCAGAGCTCATCCGGCATGGGCGATACAGCTGCCCAGAGACCACAGTCAAGTACGTGAGTGATGGGCAAATGTTTGCAGTTCTATAATGTGACCTCCTAAAAAGTCATTCTGAAATTTCCTGATCATTACTAGTGAGGTCACATGCATGATGAAAACGCTGCCATTCCTGTCCCCCCCACCCCCACCAAATAAGATGTCCTAGCCTGCGACCTCACCCTCCTCCTATCCTTAGGAAAACTTCCCATTTTGTACAACTCCTTGGAGCATCTCTCTGCTTGCTAGCTGTGATGCTGCCAGATTTGTGGACTGCTTAATATAGTGAATTAGATCTCCAAATGTACTCCATTGGATTTTGTTTTGTTGTTATTTTTTTTTAATTGAGGTAGAGTCGTCATACAATGTTGTATTAGTTTCAGGTATATGACATAATGATTCAGCAATCCCGTACATCACACAGTGCTCCCCATGAATTTGATTTTGAACATCACCAATCAAGATGCCTGTAGATCCGAAGTCTGTGGTCACATGATCTCATGGGAAGGAGGATCCCACTGTGCTGCCTTTCCCAGTGTTTATGTGCAGTGCAGCTGGTTTGAGATGAAGGATACCCCCCAGGACACACACTTCCTCCCAGCATGAGACAGATTCAGAGTCTGAGGCTGTGGGTGAAAGTCATTGCCAGCGAGAAGGGGTGGCCTTGACAAGTACATTACAATCTGGTTGTGTTTCATGAGCCATGGTGTAGCTTCTGGAGCCACGTCATGAAAGTCCTGCCGTGAGAACTCCCTCAGAGAGCTAAGCCTCTTGCTTCAGTTCAGCGGAGTGGGGGGATACAAAGTCCAGAACATTTGGCTCTACAATGGGGCAGGTGCTCAGGTTGCCCTACTACCAGTCCTCGAGGCAGAGACTTGATCTGCTTGCATCTTCGCAGAAATACCCCCCACTCTTAGCATATGTCATTTTATGGATGTGTTCTGTCTCACAAATATTTCTAGGATGACCTTTCAATACCACTTGAGACCTAGGAATGTCTTTATGCCTCAATATAATGTGAGGTCCTTTATGCCAATAGCATGCATGCCTAAGGGGTTGCCTCCATCCTTGGAATCAGGAAGTATTCTAATCCAAAAACGCACCTGTCCTCTGAGAGAGCTGCACAGAATTCTCTCAGAAACTCCAGCCTGGTGGTGTCTGGATGGCTCAGTCAGTTAAACATCTGACTGCAGCTCAGGTCATGATCTCATGGTTTGTGGGTTAGAGCCCCGCATCAGGCTCTGTGATGACAGTTTGGAGAGCTCCCTCTCTCTCTCTCAAAATAAATAAATAAACTTAAAAAAAGAAACTCGAGCCTGGTGTGGGGGCTTAGTTGCTTACACTAGCATTTGAATCAGAGGGGCGATTTTCCACTGTCCTCTTGGAATAAAAAACTCTTTTTTCCTTATACTTAATTTTGGGAGAGTGCAAGCGGGGGAGGGGCAGAGAGAGACCCTTAGAGGATCTGAGGCAGGCTCCTGGCTGCCAGCAGTGAGCTCGATGTAGTGCTTGAACCACGACATCATGACCTGAGCTGAAGCCAGACTCTCAACCAACTGAGCCACCCAGGCACCCCTATAACTCTTGAATATTTAGTGCATAGGTGGGCTCAGGCAAGGCAACGGGCTTCCATTTATTATGGGCAATTCAACTGGGCAGAAGATGGGCTTGCCAGTGTTCATCTAAGAGCTGGTGGTCGGACGCTCAACTGACTGAGCCACCCAAGCGCCCCTGACTTATAACTCTTATAAACAAACCCAATTGCCACAGAGTTGATATGATTATCATTACCTTCCTGATGACATGCATGAATCTGCCAGTGTTCTTTCTGGGCAAAAAAAAAAAAAAAAAAAAAAAGAGTGGAGGGCTGTGGGAAAGAAGATGGTATTTAAGTTGGAAAACTGGGGATACACAGTCAAAAAGCAGTAGACAACTAAATGCAATTTGGATATACAGTTTGTACATATACTGGATCTACACACACATTCTTGCATGAACTTCTGTATGTATGGATTTATTTACACCTGAAATGAGAAAACACAATCACACACCAAAATAAACCTAATGGAAGAGGTTGACAAAATGGAAGGTGAAAAAACTAAGGTGGTTCTTTAAGAAATCAAGATAGCATCTAAGTGGCTAAACCACCAAGAAGCCTAATTAAGACAAAAAGAAAGCTTCGAGAATCTTTGTAAAGATAATGAAGAAATGATCACAGAGAGGGAAAGGATGAGAAGAGGAATAATTAGCAGGCCTCTGCAAAGTAATGGAGAAACCTGGGTAAAAGGGATGGCTGTCTACACCACCTTGCATAAAATCACATCAAGTGCTCCCTCTCTGCTTCCTTCATATTTCCCTCCCACACCTTGTTCCCACGCCTCTGCTTCTAGGAGATAGATCACATGCTACACGTTCCTACCCAAATAAATAAATAACCACGAAAGAACACACATCCATTTCTCGAGGTGATGAATATGTTTAGTACCTTCGTTAAAGTGATGGTATTACAGGGGAGTGCATAGGAGAAAATTCATCAAGATGTATACAATCAATGTGTGCAATTTGTTGTAAAAAGAGGGAGACAGAGAACATAAAGTTAATGCAGCAAGTGTTAACAGTTGATGAATCACAGTTAACAACTGATGAATTCAGTTGATCAGTATATCAAGATGCGTTGTGCTGTGCTTGAATTCCTCTGCCCACCATCCCCACAGGTTTCAAATTGTATCAAAATTAAGAGGCCTAGAAGCTGTGAAGAAAGCATTTGTGCATTCCTACTTAGAGATGCACAATGTACTCTGTCAACTGAGAGAAGACGCAGAACTGAAATAAAAACAAAGTTATTTATTTGGGGTCCCAGAATTGCAGTTTGGGAAATACATATCTGGGTAGCAACCAAAAGAGTGCCTCTACCCTCCCCACCCCCATCCAGGGAATGAAAGTAAGAGGTTTTTGAAGACAAAAGGGAATGCTTGTATATGTCATTTACTAAGAATTCTGATGACCAAGATTGGTGTTGGTGGCAGGAAACTAAACTTGGTGACCGTACCTGGTTTCTTTTTTTTTTTTTTTTTTTAATTTTTTTTCAACGTTTATTTATTTTTGGGACAGAGAGAGACAGAGCATGAACGGGGGAGGGGCAGAGAGAGAGGGAGACACAGAATCGGAAACAGGCTCCAGGCTCTGAGCCATCAGCCCAGAGCCCGACGCGGGGCTCGAACTCCCGGACCGCGAGATCGTGACCTGGCTGAAGTCGGACGCTTAACCGACTGCGCCACCCAGGCGCCCCCGTACCTGGTTTCTAAGGCTATCACTAAGCAGGGTCTCTCACTATAGCAAGCTGCAGGTGTTTGGGCTGAGTCCCTGGAAGAGTTGCAGTTTGGCCCGGTTCCAACATTTGTGGTTCTCCTACTGGTGAGGATGTGCATAAGGCCCATCTCCTTACTGGCCTCTGGCTCCATTTGAAAACCTGTTGACATACGTGACTATTTCATTTTACCTTTCACAATGTAATATATTGAAGAAGATAATATTAAGAAGCCAAAAGTGAAGCTTGGGCTTATGTCCGTGTTGTGTTGAAAGCAGGCAATCCAAACCCTAAAGCCCTTAATGCATTGGCTGGCACACAGCAGGTCCTCAATATATGGTTCTAATATATAGGGGGGAGGGTGTTGGCTACCAAGCAACCATTTCACATTCTCTGGGTTCCCCAGGGACTCTCACTGGAGATAGTGGGGTGGTGGTATTGTGGCCGAGACTCCCCTTGCCCAGCAAGAAGCAGGCGTAGGTCTCAGGCCAGGCCAGTAGGATGCTCCCTCCTTGGAACGGGAACCTCCAACACCTGGAGGTCCTTCTACCTGAGTAGTGGCACCCTAACCACTCTGTCCTTGCCAGGAGACTATTCCCAAGGGTCTCTCTTTCTGGAGCTACCTTGCTTTCAGCCCAGTCCTCCAGGTCCCCCTTGGACTCTGGGAATGCGCATTATCCTTCCAGCTTATTTTCTTTTCCCTAGGTTAGTCAAAATCATCTTCTCTGGCTTATGGCACTGACAAATGGAGAAAAGGGGACTTTGAACCTCCTCAGCAAGAGGGCTGCTCTGAGCTGTCCACAGTCCTAGTGACTGGAGGGCTGAAACCCGGGGGGGCTCTTGAGGGCAGGATGCAAGTCCTTTAAGTGGACTTCAAGGCCTTAACAGGACCTTGGAAGACTGCCAATCCTTCTTGGTCATGCCACTTCAGCCCCACTGGCCTCCTAGCTATTTGTCACACCCAGGGGCACACTCCTCCCTCAGAGCCTTTGCACTTGCTGTTCCCTTTGCCTGGAATGCTCTTCCTCCAGAAATCCCCAATCTACTCTTCTCTTCTTTGCTCTAATGGCATCTCCTCATGGGGCCTCCCTCAAGCACCCTACTTCAAAAATACAAACCCCACCTGTCTCCTTTGCCTACTTCAGTTTTCTCCAGAAACTTCCAACATACCACATCATCTGCTTATTTATTTTTCTGTCTACCTCCTACGCCCTGTGAGGGCAAGCTTTTGTCCATCTTGCTCACTTCCCTATCTTCAGTACAGTAACCTGGCATGTGGTAGGCGTCAATAAATGTTTGTAAACCCGAGTTGCCATCTGGGTGGATGCGGTCAGGAACTTGGTGGAATGAGCGTTGGTCGCAAAGAGTCTTGGAGAGCCTGGCTGACAAGTGTCCTATTGGGGTCCTGGAAGTATCCCTCTCTGCCACTCTCCCAGGGACCTGCGTGTGGGGGAGGGAGCCACGTAAGGCCTGGCCAATCCGGGTGGAGAGTCACTGTATCTAAGAAGACTCAATAATAATAATAATAATAATAATAACAACAACAATAATGGCAGCTCTTATGGTTGCTGGTCTTTTTTCCTAGGTCTCGGATAAGTGCTTTACATTCACTATCTCTTTTTATGTCTCGTATAGTTCTGATGAGGTGGTCCTATTACATCCATTTTACACATATACATATATTTTAATGTTTATTTATTTTAGAGACAGAGCACAAGCGGAGTCGGGGCAGAGACAGAGGAAGACAGAATCAGAAACAGGTTCCAGGCTCTGAGCAGTCAACACACAGCCCGACGCGGGGCTCGAACCCACGAACCATGAGATCATGACCTGAGCCTAAGTCGGACACTCAACCGACTGAGCCACCCAGGCGCCCCTATTACAACCATTTGAAAGATGAGAACCCTGAGGCTTGGAGCGTGTCGAGAACAGGCCCACCGCCTCAGGCCACTTCCCTGCAGCCCGGCAAGGAGCGGATCTGGGAATGAAAGATGCATTTCCGCCCTGCCCAATAGAGGGGGAGTGGGAGCTGGGCCGCAGGGCGTGGGAGGCGGGGCTTCCCGCGGAGGCGGGGCTGCTGATGGTATAGGCCCAGAGCATGCATCAGCCCTGAGGACCTTCCCTCCAGGGGCCAGGCTGCGCTGCGGTGGCGGTGGTGGCTCGCAGGAGGGGCGGGGTGGCTGCGCGGCGTGGCTGCAAGGCGGGGCCTGACGACACAGGGCGCTCGGCCCTGCCCCACCATGGCTGCAGCTGCGCAACCTGAGAGCGGGCACCGCCGCCACCTGGGCTGGGAATGTAGTGCGCGTGGCCACGGCCTCCGGGCCACGGCTAAGCGGGCGCAGGGCGCGGGGGCGGCGGGAGAGCAGCCCTGGGCCCTGCCCGCAGAGCTCGGCTGACCGGCTGCCCCCTTGTCTCGTCCCACAGATGCGGACACTTGACAGAGGCTGCTGTGCACCGTCAAGAAGGAGGTGGGTGCCAGAGGCGGGGGTGGGGGCGGGGGCGCGATCCTGGGGGAGGGGGCTTCCAAGCCACCCGGGGAAGGGTCTCCGAAGGAGAGGTGGCTGGTGGGCGGCGGGGACGGCCATTTCCGGTTTGGGGCTCACCTGGCTGGGTATTTGCCTCCCGCGGAACTGGATGCGGGTGAGTTTGGGGGTGGGGGTATATGGGACTTTGGATGTTTTTATGCTGTGTGCAGGGGCGGGTGCAGCCTCAGGGTCCCCTGGGTGTGGGGCACCCCTGGATATGTCTGGGTAGGACCTCCTCTTGTGGAGGAGCCTGTGGTTGGATTTCAGTAAGGTGAGGCAAGCGCCTGGAGGGTGCTGACTGGGCGTATTGGGTGGTGCGGGGCTGAATACAGCTGCAGAAGGAAGACCAGACTTCGGAAGGGGGGAAAGGTTCACTGTGGAAAAATGCCCCTCATCCCAGATCTCCACTTTCCCGCAAATTCTCAGTCCTTGGAGCCACCCCCAGGAGCCAAAAGACTCCCCCCGCACCCCATCCCTGAAAGCCCCTGGCAAGTGGGTTACTCCATTTGTGGGCTTGTCCCCTGCTGTTTTGGCAGCTGGGTGTCCCTTACCCCCTCCCCCACCCCCACATGCAGTAGAGTGAGAAGGAAGCAAGGTTCAACTGTCCCTCTGCCCCTTCCCTCTCTTTGGGGCCAACTGGGAACCCAGTCCAGCCTTTAGTTTCTAGGCCGCAGAGGGGAGAATCCATAGTGGTTGGTTCCTGGGAAGCATTTAGATGCTTGGGCTGTGTGTGTGCGTGTGTGAAAAGCATGCACACGCCTATGTGGGCGAGGACATGTGGCTGTGAGTGTGTGCCTCTGAGAATGTCTGTGCATCAGTCTGGAGATATCCAAGTATATCTTCTTATTGCATGTACATGGGTCTGTGTGTTTATGTGTTTCTGTGAGTATGAGGTGTATCTGTGTACATGGGTGAGGCCGTGACCATGTATGTGTGATTGTATGTGTGTCTCTTCCCTCCATTATGTCACTTCACATCCTGGGACCCCGTCACTGCTGAGCTGCCTCACCCCTGTATCTTGAGTCCTCAGCCTGAGACCACAAATGCCTGCAGACCTTGGGGGCTGGCCTCATTTCTGTGCCTGTGTATGTGTGTTGAGGGCATCCCCATCTGGTGTCAGCACTGAGCACCAAGAAGCCCCTCCCCGCCTGGTGGCAGACAGCCACCAAAGGACAGCCTTGAAGCAGGGACCTGTTGCTGCCCCTGCCTGCTCAGAAAGCTTGGGCATATGTCTGCGTCTAGGTCTCTAGGTGTGGCGTGTCCCGTGTTGTTGAAAGAATCAGCTCCAGGGCTGACTGTACATTCTAGCATTACTTTCTTTCATTTTTTTTAAAATTTCTTTAACGTTTATGTATTTTTGAGACAGAGAGAGACAGAGCATGAATGGGGGAGGGTCAGAGAGGGAGACATAGAATCTGAAGCAGGCTCCAGGCTCTGAGATGTTACCACAGAGCCCAACGCGAGGCTGGAACTCACAGACTACGAGATCATGACCTGAGCCAAAGTCAGACGCTTAACCGACTGAGCCACTCAGGCACCCCTCATTCTAGCATTTCGGAATAAGGTGGGATGTGTGGAATTCCTCAGAAAGGCCCAGATGTTTTCAGTTTAGGCCTCTTAGAGGCCCTGTGGGGACCTGAAGAAAGCTCTATGTAGATAGACCACCTTCCAACAAAACATACAGACCTACAATATTCTGATGACTATGTTAGGGGAGGGTGTCTCTAGCACCTCCACCAAAAGCCTTCAGGTTAAAAACCTGCAGACTCTTTGTTCATTGTTTAACCAAACCTGGTTGTAATATGTGCTCTCCAGATGTTTGCAACTGGAATGGCTGTGTTTTCAAGGAAATGGTTGGCTGTTCAACTGGGAGTGGGGGCCACAGGCCAAAGAATGTGTGAACAAGGCATCTGCCTCTGGGCAGGGCTCCAGCTGGGACCATGGTCCCAACTCTGCCAGCAGCTCCCTCGATGCCCTGGACAAGTCCTTTCCCCTCTCAAGGACTCAGTTTCTACATGTGGAGAAGGAGCGTCCTTGGAGGTTCCACCCATGTCAGTCTAGTTTGGATTATCGGCTGCGGGGAGGGGGGGTGGGGTGGTGGGGTGGGTATACTTTGCCCCTGGTGACCAGAGGTGTGGGCCTGCATCCTCTCTCCTGGGAGCAGCCGAGTTTGGGGCATGGAATGAGCTTTCTGCCTGACATGAGGCCAAGGCCATCGCCTGATCAGAGGGACCTGTGTGGCATCCCACTTGGTGCCTCAGGGGGGCAGGGACAGAACCTTACAGATTTGGGCAAAAGGCCTCTAGCGCCCATTGACTCCGGATCTGCAGTCAGAAGGCACGGCTTACAGTAGTGAGTTGGTGGCTGATTCTGAATACTGTATTTCTTGGGGCACATCGTTTCAGGAATCAGAACTTCCATTTACTGGGAGCTACTCTGTGCCATACCCTGTGTGTACAGGTAACTTTCTGAGGTGAGTGTGATTGTCCCCACTTTACAGACAGAGAAAACGAGCTTGGAGGGGAGGCGTGAGTTGCTGAAGAGCACACAGCCGACAGGGTGCGGAGCCAGGGACTTCACCCCCAGGTCTGTCTGACTTCAGAGCCAGGCTTTTACCTCTCATAACCCAAACGTGTCCATCCACGTCTCCGCAGCACTGCAATGTCAGCACGTGTGGTGCCATGATTTCCATCGCATGGATGTGAAAACTGGCCCAGAGAGAATAAATGATGTCCCAAGGGCAGAGAACCAGTAAAGGACAAGTTCAGATCTTCTGTTTGTGAGCTCTTTATTCAGCCCGGGTGCCCCCTGAGGGCATGGCCACAAGCCCATGTCCCACCAAAGCCGACTTCCTCTCTCCTTCCCTTTCTCTGCCCACCTTTTTGGGGAGCATCTCCCCCCAGTATCAGAGAGCCGGGCTCCAGTGGAGTGGCATAGGGAAGCTCTTTGCCTAGAAATCCAGGAGTCAAGTCAACTCTTCCTTCGCCCCATTTTCTGGGTTCAGAGGAGCCACATCCCTGCCTGTCACAGCCTTGCCCAGAGACACCTTCCACCCTTCTTTCTGGAACTGTTGGCTTAATAGTCAGTTGCTTTTTAATTTTTTTCTATTTAAAAAAATTTTTAATGGTTTTATTTATTTTTGAAGGAGAAACAGACAGAGCATGAGCGGGGGAGGAGCAGAGAGAGAGGGAGACCCAGAATTCAAAGCAGGCTCCAGGCTCTAAGCTGTCAGCACAGAGCCCGATGTGGGGCTCAAACCCACAAACTGTGAGATCATGACCTGAGCCGAAGCCGGACACTAGTGCACTGTACCTACTGAAAAGTAGGAAGAAAGCTTTAACTTGGTAGACTGTTACTAAAGAACTTCTGCAAGTTAGTTTTGGAAGTTACAGGAAAGGCAAAGATAGAACAGACAGCGTTTTGATCATTAAGGTGCTCATAACAGAATAGAGCTGTCCCTGCGGTTTTTGAAACAGAAAAGTTTCTGTGGCTTTTAAAAATAATTTTCAAAGGAATTCATTTTTATTCATTTCGATTTGTTTACAAGTAACTCTTAAGTGCCTATTAGCTACTAAGTGTTATCGTGTTGTAGAATACAAACATTTAAAAACCAGTCTCTGCACCCCAGGAGTCTGTTGTTACCACTGTCATTTGTGTTATTTACTCTATTTAGTGCTTACTAGGTGCCAGAGTCTCGTAGAACTTACAATTATCATTGTTATTTTGTATTGGCATTTGTTCCAGTTACTGTAAGTTTACGGTGAGGAATCCGAGTTTTCAAAGACTGGGTAGAATCTACAGTAAACGTGCAGAGTGAGTAGTTCAGTTTGCCAGGTAGAGAGGCAGAAGGACCAACATTTGTGTGTTTGACAATGTTTGTAAACTGTCACGATTACGTGCTTGGCGGAGTACACAGCAGTGCAGAGGTGAAGGTGTACGAGTGAACTTAGCAGGATTTATGAGCAGCTGGGTTTTGCTGGTAGAAAACGTGTGCTATGGCAATGGTTGGGAATGAGGTGAATACCTAGGTAAGACAAGCTTGTGGAAGTTTGTTAGTGCTATAGAAAGGAGTAGATCTTACCCGATAGGCCTTGGGGAATTTCTTTGGTAGAATGCTTTTAGCGGCAAATAATAGGTGACTTCTAACAATGACTAAAACAGTAGGAACCAGAAATGTTTTGATGGTTCAGTGATGTCATCAGGATGCCAGTCGTCTCTTGTTCAGTTTTGGAGT